CAGAATGATGAAAGCAAAACCAAATAAAGTACAGCGATTAAGTAAATCGAATATATATGAACACCCACACACACACACCAGAACTGGCGTGCCTGTGTGTACCGGGCCGAGACGCGAAATTTAGGATTGGCAAAAAATAATATTCGCGTAAACAGCAGCCGTCGTTCGCCTCCTGGCGGTGACATCATCACAGTGCTTGTGCCATGCTAGGTGCACTTTAAGGCCACGTGAAGTGTGGAACACTCGCTGATAGGTCACACGACATACCCAGGTGCCATGTGTTTACTGACTGGCAGACACATGCGCACTCTTGTACACACGCACAAGGCTTTTGGGGCAAGTGCTGTTAGCGAGCAGCACCTATGAAGGCCGGCACGGCACACGAGGTGTGGTGGGTGGCCAGCACCAGGAGACAATTTACCCTCTCCATGGTTACTGGAGGCAAATTACCCGCTCCATGGTGACAGAACGACAGCACGCTGGCCCATGTAAACTTTAATACTGCCTATGACAACAGCAATAATGGCAGTCGTTTACCGCGGACAGCTCCACGGCGCAGGGTTCCCGTGGCTCCCACGAGGCGCCCGTGGCTCATCGCTCCACTGCTCCATCAGTTGCCATGGCGACACACCCGCAGCTCATCTGTCTCCACGTCGATCCCCGTCGTCTCTCCACGGAAGCGCCCTGCGTTTTGCCCGACTCTCCTCCTCCTCCTCCGTCAACATTTGCTCTCCCGCGCGCAATTTCCTTCGGCCAAACAGACGGCGGCACGGACGAGCGAGCGATGGCCGAGGCGGCGAGACGAAAATGACAGTGAAGGGAGTGGAACAAAAGTTCCTTCGTGTGACGCCTCTTCTTGTGTTTTGTCCTCGTCGCGAGGCTGCGGGAGAGGAATTCCCACACTCGCCCTGGGTCTCGCGTGCTGGGTGTGAGCGTGGGGAACGGTGGCGCAGCGGTTAGCCCCACGCGGCGCGACTACGATCCCGGCCACCCGAGTTCGATTCCCGCTCACGGCCATCAACAACCAGCGACGATTGTCTGAACCGCTCCTGTGCCTCCCCTCGGTCGACTCAGCCTCAAATAAGTACCTGGTGCGGTGTGTAAACATCTCCACTGGGAGACAAAGGCGGTCGGGCGTGGTGCTGGCCACCCACCCCTCGTGTGCCGTGCCGGCCTTCATAGGTGCTACTCGCACATCCATCTCCACGACCCACAGTGGAGCTGGCTGCACATCCATCTCCACGACCCACAGTAGCCCTGGCTGCACATCCATCTCCACGACCCACAGTAGCCCTGGCTGCACATCCATCTCCACGACCCACAGTAGCCCTGGCTGCACATCCATCTCCACGACCCACAGTAGCCCTGGCTGCACTTCCATCTCCACGACCCACAGTAGCCCTGGCTGCACAACCATCTCCACGACCCACAGTGGAGCTGGCTGCACTTCCATCTCCACGACCCACAGTAGCCCTGGCTGCACATCCATCTCCACGACCCACAGTGGAGCTGGCTGCACATCCATCTCCACGACCCACAGTAGCCCTGGCTGCACATCCATCTCCACGACCCACAGTGGAGCTGGCTGCACTTCCATCTCCACGACCCACAGTAGCCCTGGCTGCACATCCATCTCCACGACCCACAGTAGCCCTGGCTGCACATCCATCTCCACGACCCACAGTGGAGCTGGCTGCACATCCATCTCCACGACCCACAGTGGAGCTGGCTGCACTTCCATCTCCACGACCCACAGTAGCCCTGGCTGCACTTCCATCTCCACGACCCACAGTAGCCCTGGCTGCACAACCATCTCCACGACCCACAGTGGAGCTGGCTGCACATCCATCTCCACGACCCACAGTGGAGCTGGCTGCACTTCCATCTCCACGACCCACAGTGGAGCTGGCTGCACAACCATCTCCACGACCCACAGTGGAGCTGGCTGCACATCCATCTCCACGACCCACAGTGGAGCTGGCTGCACTTCCATCTCCACGACCCACAGTAGCCCTGGCTGCACAACCATCTCCACGACCCACAGTGGAGCTGGCTGCACTTCCATCTCCACGACCCACAGTAGCCCTGGCTGCACATCCATCTCCACGACCCACAGTGGAGCTGGCTGCACATCCATCTCCACGACCCACAGTGGAGCTGGCTGCACATCCATCTCCACGACCCACAGTGGAGCTGGCTGCACTTCCATCTCCACGACCCACAGTGGAGCTGGCTGCACAACCATCTCCACGACCCACAGTGGAGCTGGCTGCACAACCATCTCCACGACCCACAGTGGAGCTGGCTGCACTTCCATCTCCACGAGACGGAGCGAGTCTTGCGCGGAGTGATGAAACGATGATGAAGTCACCACGTTCAAAACCTTGCTGCAGTGTGGGCATTGTGAGACGGGTAGTGATGACAACTTATGACAATGCCTTCATCCATCAGTGAATAGATCATGATGAATACCAGGAGATATGGCATTGCGTTTATCCGACCTCAGATGTAAGGTTGGCTTTTCTCTCCACGTAAGCTAAACTCCCATGACCGGAATTCATGGCCAAACATTGTCAATGTAGCGGGGAACCACATAGAACACACACAGACGCAAGTTTTGAGATTCGGTCTTTCCTGGGTAAATATTTGGTATAATTTTATTCTTTTGAGATAGGCAAATTGCATTTTCAAATCTTCAACCATTCCACCAACATAACGAAACATAACATTGTGCTTCACGTAATCATTTTAACACGCAGTCGGATGTCACAACCAACATTATCCATAATGCAGGTTTTTGGTGTTAGATCCCGTAAATATAAGTGTCGTGAAACCCGCCACCACCCGACAGAGCCTATGATAAAGGGTTGTCACGTAAACAGAACTTACTCGTACAGCACACCCGGTGTGTTGGAGAGTAAACCCACAACATTTACAATTCCAAGTACGGCGTTTCGCCAGTCCTTACAACCAGCATCATCAGCCGACAGTCAGAATTGTGAACTCCGCCTGCTTCGCTCTACTTTGGTTGTTAGACTATCGACTGGACCGAGACTCCGGGAGAGGCCACGGGGCTGGGGACCGAGACTCCGGGAGAGGTCACGGGGCTGGGTGTGTGCAGACGACGTGTCGAGGCGGTGAGTGCTGCACGTGGCATGGAGTCGGGGCCAACTCTCAAATCATTATCGCGAGTGGACGACCCCCGGGAAGCAGGCACCACCCTGCTCACTCGCCCCTCTTACAAACCGCAGCGAGCGAAGGTCTTATGGCCAGCTGCTGCTCCCCCTCGCCACCCCCAGCGCCCGGGCAGCTGACCGCAAGCATGCCCGCCGAATCTACTCCCCCGCACCTCCGATTAGCACGGTTGGCTACGTACGGTGCGAAAGAAGTTCAACCTACATGAATACAGAAGATCATTGTCGTCCTTTCTTCCCCGGCTCGGCTGTCGCGATCCAATGTGGTTCTTGTTTAACGCTGCGGTGAATGGTAGCGCCTCTAGCGGCTACGCTGTTCCCATGAACCCTTTGCGTATAACGCGAATGAGACGGAGTGTCCTTAATGTACGTTTTTAAAAAAATACCCATCGATTAGATTTGCACAGACGAAACGTCGTCCACATGTTCTTTAGCTTCATTATCAATATTTGATCGATTATGGGATCAACCGTTACATCACTTCTACCCAACCCTAATCATCACCACGTAAAATATGTAAACTATTGCAAAAAGATAAATACTTGGGTGTGATATGAAACATTATTGCACGGTGATGAGTGTGTTGAGCTTCAATTGATGAACCTATACAACACCGGGGTAAATATTTATACGAAAGCAGTGAAATTGGAGGTCATTTATTGACCTTTACAATCAGGTACATTCATAAACATTGGGGCTTCTTCGTCACCCATAAAAGATCTACACGGAGGCCTGCGTCCTTCCACTGCTGAGGGCCTCCCCACGCCGCGTCAGCCATTGGGATTGTCTGACCGTACAGCACCACCTCGGTCAGTGCAGGTTCGTGAAGAAAGGGCCCAGGAAAGGGCCACAGAGATCGCTCGCCACTGATAGTATCCATGGCCCGGATTCCAACCGAGGTTGCCTCGGTTGCGCACAGCGCAGCGCGTTAACCGCTGCGCCACCGCTCCCTTCGTCGTCATCGTCACTACTGTTATGCACAGGAATGCCACTGCGATCCAGGCGCAACATTGTCATTGGGTTTCCAAAATAAAAAACACCCAGCAACACCGCGAGCCGATCGCACCGCGTACAGATGGATAAACATCTACACCCGCGAACATCACCATCCACACACCATCCACATCACCATCCACATCACCATCCACCATCCACACACCATCCACACACCATCATCCACACACCATCCACATCACCATCCACATCACCATCCACACACCATCATCCACATCACCATCCACATCACCATCCACATCACCATCCACCATCCACATCACCATCCACACACCATCATCCACGTCACCATCCACATCACCATCCACACACCATCCACATCACCATCCACATCACCATCTAGACACCATCCACACACCATCCACATCACCATCCACATCACCATCTAGACACCATCCACATCACCATCCACACACCATCCACATCACCATCCACACATCATCCACGTCACCATCCACACACCATCCAGACACCATCCACATCACCATCCACACACCATCCACATCACCATCCACACATCATCCACGTCACCATCCAGACACCATCCAGACACCATCCACATCACCATCCACATCACCGTGCTTTCAATGTCTCTGTGGCAACGTCGCTCACTGCCTCACCGCCTCCAGCCGTTCCCTGACGATCCATCGCCAATCAAGCACCCCAGCCCCCTCCCCCCAGCCCCCTCCCCTCACGCCCCCTCCCCCCCACGCCCCCTCCTCCACGCCCCCCGCCCCTCCCCCCACGCCCCCCTCGCCCGCCATCACCCCAGGTTCTTGACCAATTTTCTAATTTTCACGGGGGGGGGGGGGTACTTTCACTGATAAGACTTCATCGGTGTGAGGGCCGCCACGCATTTGAAACCATTGCGAGTTTGACAGCAGCACGGCGATGATGGTGATGATGGGGCGCGTTGTCGCTGCTCTGTGTGTATTGACGGGGAGGCCGCACTAAAGACCACCAGCGGTTGCCAGTGGCCCGCGGGGCATTGCAACGAAGAACACTGCCCGAGAATATTCACAATTGGCGAACGATTCGCAGGGCCGCAGCACAGCGGATTTGATTTCGTCCACTCCCTCGATTGGGTTTGTGGATTGAATCCACGCGGAGTTGTCACCCTGTCGTGCGCGGGGTCAGGATTCCTCCCCAGAACCTCCAGCTCCATCCCTCCACAAACCCTCACAAATAATGGTATGGGGACAAACGGTCCGATGTAGCAGGACCCTCCTGAATTGGAGTCTTGAGACTCAGTGAGCTTCTCCTGGGTTGTGGTTACCGCTGTTATTAGGTGGGGGCGGGGTGCTGGCTGGGCCCCCCCAGTGACCACGAGGGGGCGCTATCTCCACGTGGTGCGTGGGGGTGCCCGAAACGGGCAGCAGGGGGTGGAGGGCTGCGGCGTGGCCAGGGCAGTCTACGACGGTACAACATGTGCATTGTTAAATCCATCTGTGCGGACCTTTTGAGTTGTACTCACTCGTGCGTGCGATGGGTGTTTTATTCCGGATTCTTGTGTGCGACGCCAAACTCTCACGTCACCCACGTGTTGCCTATACATTGCCCGGGTGTTTCCCCGATGTTCAGCAGATGTTGCTCAAGAGTTTCTCATGTGTAGCCCCATGTGTAGCCCATGTGTAGCCCATGTGTAGCCCGGGCGTTGCCCATGTGTAGCCCATGTGTAGCCCGGGTGTAGCCCATGTGTAGCCCATGTGTTGACGGGGCGTTGCCCATGTGTAGCCCATGTGTAGCCCGGGTGTAGCCCATGTGTAGCCCATGTGTTGACGGGGCGTTGCCCATGTGTAGCCCATGTGTAGCCCACGTGTAGCCCATGTGTTGACGGGGCGTTGCCCATGTGTAGCCCATGTGTAGCCCATGTGTAGCCCTTGTGTAGCCCGGGTGTAGCCCATGTGTAGCCCGGGTGTAGCCCATGTGTAGCCCATGTGTAGCCCGGGTGTAGCCCATGTGTAGCCCATGTGTTGACGGGGCGTTGCCCATGTGTAGCCCACGTGTATCCCAGGTGTTGCCCAGGTATTGTTTATGTGTTGTTGCCCGATTGTTGCCCAGGTATTTCCCATGTGTTGTTGCCCGGGTATTGCCCGGGCGTTGCCCTACTCGCTGACGAGCGAGTCGTAGTTGCTGGTGCTCAGGCTGGGCAGCGTGGGGCCGCTCTGCCGCACGCGGTCGCGCACCGTCCCCTTCACTTTGGTCTTCAAGCGCGGGTCGGTCATCCCCGTGGCTGCAGAGACAAACAAACCCGTAAACTAACTCGTAAACAAACTCGTAAACAAACTCGTAAACAAACCCGTAAACAAACCCGTAAACAAACTCGTAAACAAACCCGTAAACAAACCCGTAAACAAACTCGTAAACAAACCCGTAAACAAACCCGTAAACAAACCCGTAAACAAACCCGTAAACAAACTCGTAAACTAACCCGTAAACAAACCCGTAAACAAACTCGTAAACAAACCCGTAAACAAACCCGTAAACAAACTCGTAAACAAACCCGTAAACAAACTCGTAAACAAACTCATAAACAAACTCGTAAACAAACCCGTAAACAAACCCGTAAACAAACTCGTAAACAAACTCGTAAACAAACCCGTAAACAAACCCGTAAACAAACTCGTAAACAAACTCGTAAACAAACCAGTAAACAAACTCGTAAACAAACTCGTAAACAAACCCGTAAACAAACCCGTAAACAAACTCGTAAACAAACCCGTAAACAAACCCGTAAACAAACTCGTAAACAAACCCGTAAACAAACTCGTAAACAAACTCGTAAACAAACCCGTAAACAAACTCGTAAACAAACCCGTAAACAAACTCGTAAACAAACCCGTAAACAAACCCGTAAACAAACTCGTAAACAAACCCGTAAACAAACTCGTAAACAAACCCGTAAACAAACTCGTAAACAAACTCGTAAACAAACCCGTAAACAAACCCGTAAACAAACCCGTAAACAAACTCGTAAACAAACCCGTAAACAAACCCGTAAACAAACTCGTAAACAAACCCGTAAACTAGCACCTCAACGAACACGTAAAAGCATGTAAACGAACACGTTAACAAACAAGTTGGAGTGTACACAGATACATACAAGATCTGTAAACAAACAAACACACATACACAACACACGGATTCAAGCAAGTGAACTAAACAAACACATCGATAAACAAGTGAACAGAGTTGCAAACATGGATGTTGTGGTTTGGTGGTAGTGGTGGTAGTAGTGGCGGTGGTGGTGGTGTTAGTGGTGGCGGTGGTGGTAGTGGTGTTAGTGGTGGCGGTGGTGGTAGTGGTGGCGGTGGTGGTAGTGGTGGTAGTAGTGATGGCGGTGGTGGTGGTAGTAGTGATGGTGGTGGTGGTAGTGGTGGTAGTAGTGATGGTGGTGGTAGTGGTGGTAGTAGTGATGGTGGTGTTAGTGGTGGTAGTAGTGGTGGTGGTGGTGTTAGTGGAAGTGGTGGTAGTAGTGATGGTGGTGGTGTTAGTGGAAGTGGGGGTAGTAGTGATGGTGGTGGTAGTGGTGGTAGTAGTGATGGCGGTGGTGGTAGTGGTGCTAGTAGTGATGGTGGTGGTAGTAGTGATGGTGGTGGTAGTAGTGATGGTGGTGGTAGTAGTGATGGTGGTGGTAGTGGTGGTAGTAGTGATGGTGTTAGTGGTGGTAGTAGTGGTGGTGGTGGTGTTAGTGGTAGTGGTGGTAGTAGTGATGGTGGTGGTAGTGGTGGTAGTAGTGATGGTGGTGGTGTTAGTGGTGGTAGTAGTGATGGTGGTGGTGTTAGTGGTGGTAGTAGTGGTGGTGGTGTTAGTGGTGGTAGTAGTGATGGTGGTGTTAGTGGTGGTAGTAGTGATGGTGGTGGTAGTGGTGGTAGTAGTGATGGTGGTGGTAGTGGTGGTAGTAGTGATGGTGGTGGTAGTGGTGGTAGTAGTGGTGGTGTTAGTGGTGGTGGTGGTGTTAGTGGTAGTGGTGTTGAGGGCAGCTGGAGGTGACGTCACTCACATCGGCTCTTCCCGTGAGGTCCCTGACTGCTGCTCCCCTCCTGTGGACAAAGCGAGAAGCTCGTCACACAAAGACTCCAACTCGCTCACTCATTCACACACTCACACAAACAAAGGTTCCCCGTGTAGCCTTCACAGCCTCTTGGGACAAGTGCTGTTAGCGAGCACATTTGAAGGTCGGCATGGCACACGAGGGGGTGGGTGACCAGCACCGCGCTCGGCCGCCTTTGTCTCCCAAAGTGGCGATGTTTTACTGCACATCGCACCAGGTACTCACTTGAGTCGACACTCGCTCGCACTCGCTTGCACGCGGACACACGTATCGCTGACGTATCACGCACAGAGACCAAACTTCATGCAACCCGCTGGACACCGACAGAGGGAATGGAACGAGTGCGCAGAGAAGAGCGGCGAGGTGCATGCGGGGGGTGACGCCGGGATTCAAGAAGGACACGCGTGTGCGTGTTCTTGTTGCGTTTGTTCTTCACGCGCGCGCGCGCGCACCCCCAGATTAGCACGAAAGTTCAACATACATGCGAAAAATGTTGCAACATACACGTGGGGTACATGGTAATTGGCCTTCTCTTTCACGCGCACACGAGTGGAGTCCATCGCATCAGACGTGGAGAAAAGTTAAGCGCTGATGATGGCGATGATGAAACGCGAGATGGAAAAGGCGGAGTAAGGAAATTCGCGTGCGTTCGGACGTCAGAACGCCACGGAGCCCCCCCCCCCCCCCCCCCGCGACTCACGTGGCGTGTGACGAGGTCGATCCCCGTCACTTTCTTGATCGCCTTGCGCACCTGCAGAGGGGTGGCGGCGGACCGTGACTCGTGACGCGTGCAGCAGCAGCAACAACAACAACAACCCATTCGGCAGGACTTACAACAACAACAACCCACTCGGCAGGACTTACAACAACAACAACTCACTCGCCGGGACTTACAACAACAACAACCACTCACTCGGTAGGACTTACAACAACAACAACAACAACCACTCACTCGGTAGGACTTACAACAACAACAACAACCCATTCGGCAGGACTTACAACAACAACAACAACCCACTCGGCAGGACTTACAACAACAACAACTCACTCGCCGGGACTTACAACAACAACAACCACTCACTCGGTAGGACTTACAACAACAACAACCACTCACTCGGTAGGACTTACAACAACAACAACAACCCACTCGCCGGGACTTCTAACACCCGCCTCGGCTGAGATGAGACGCCAGAGCCAAAGCTAAAGGCGCGGCGCCCTTGCAACGTCTCAGGAGAGGGCGCTCTACTACTCCAGAGAGCCACTAGAGTCTGTCGGGCATTTGGCCTACTCTTCCACTCGAGAGTCTGTCGGGCATTTGGCCTACTCTTCCACGCTGGGTGAAGTGGGAGTCACCACGCTGGGTGAAGTGGGAGTCACCCCGCATGTCACCCCGCCGCACGCGATCTATCAACTGTGGTCTACTCGTTAGTTTTCTGGGTGGATGGTGGGCGGGGGTAAGAAACGTGCCCATTGCTTCAACTATCGTGCCGGGAGATCATACTAACTCCTGAACTATCAACAAAACTGTTATGTTTTTATTTTACCAGGTCAAGCCCACTGAGCTCTGTTTCATAAGCGACCTGGCAAACCACAAATGATCGCTCAGCAAAGTGGCTCATCATCATGCGGCAAAAAAGATTAAAAAGCCAAAGATTCATATCGACGGGGCCACCTCTGGATTGTAACTTCAGTGGGAAAAGCCGCCGCTGGGGCAACCTGGGGGCTACGTGGCGACTCGCCATGCCACTGCCCTGGTGGCCCCGCTACCAACAACACCACCAGCATCAACCACCACCAGCATCACCATCACCAAAACAAAGATCCCCCGTATAGCCTGTAACAGACTGGTGGGCAAAGTGCAGTTGGCGACTGGTGAGCACCTAAAAAAGGCCGACACAGCACACGAGGGGGTGGGTGGCCAACACCACGCCCGGCCGCCTTTGTCTCCCCAGTGGCGATGTTTACACATCGCAAGAGGTACTCATTTGAGGCTGAGTCGACCTACATACCACCACCACCACCACAGCTGGCACTCGATGGCTGTCACGCTTAGACTCGCGAATAAACACCATCGCGGTGTCTCGATCGTGTTGTTTGCGTGCCTCGCGTGTCGTGTGTGCCGCTTGTGTGTCCGTTCGTGTTGTGTTGATCGTCTGTTGCTGTTCTCTCTGGACTCCCGGCCCTGTTTATGCCCCCTTTGTTTTATGAGTCGCATGGTGACGTTTGGATGTGATGGTCCACACGAATGAAAAATAATCCATTCTTGCATTCGCACAAAAATCTCAATCGACAACGCATGTCATGCCCGGCGTTGGCCAAACATTCGTCGTAATATTTACACACAAACGACAATCCACGGGCACCTTCCGATCGACTGCTGGGTGAAGGCATCTCGATGCTGTGTTTTAGAATACTTCACCACGCTGGTCACAGGAGGTAACGGGAGGTCCAGGACTGCCGCAGATATCACCCGCCCCTGACATTCGCCGTGGCCTCAAACTAAACTCGGGTCGCCGAGTTGATCGACAGCACGGCCGCGCTAACCACCGCGCCACCACTCCCCTTCGGTGATAACGACAGCGAGTGTACGCGCAGGGCGCATGCTCTCACCTCGATGTCCATGAGGCAGTCGAAGAGGAATATGAACAAACCCTGTGACGTCACAATGAGAAAACAAATAGTAGAATGTTAAAACGGGAGCTCCTCGACTTACGAACGAGTTAGGTACCAAAAGTCTGTGTTCGTAAGTCGATTTGCTCGTAAGTCCAACTTTACTCCCGTCGATTCCAAACGTGTTGTAAGGCATGTACACGAAACACGGGGAATGACTTTAAAAGTTGTATAAGCTCCTGTAGATGCCACTGGTTCTTCGCGTTCTGCAGAAGTAGATGGCACCATCGCCATCTATTGCGCGGAAGTTGAACTTACAACTCTCGGCCGAACAGGCACCTGGACATAACGGACAGGTTTGTTCGTATTCCTGAAAGTTCGTAAGTCGAATGCTCGTAAGTAGGGGAGTCCCCGTATCGCAGTACGGTCCCCTGCTGACAGTGGATGGCACTGCACGGACTCGGCGAGCCAGAGGGAGCGGGGGGGAGGGAGCGGGGGGGAGGGAGCGGGGGGGGGAGGGAGCGGGGGACAGGGAGCGGGGGGGGAGGGAGCGGGGGGGGGAGGGGATGGGGGGGGAGGGAGCGGAGGGGAAGGAGCGGGGGGGGGGAGGCCGCTGGGACAAGAGGCAAACACGCAGCGGGGTGCGCCCGGCGGAGACTCCTCAGCACTGTCGCTCACAACGCTCACCCCCCCCCCCCTGCTTATCCCCCACACCACTCTCACCCCCCCCGCTTATCCCCCACACCACTCTCACCCCCCCCCGCTTATCCCCCACACCACTCTCACCCCCCCCCACCCCCCCCTGCTTATCCCCCACACCACTCTCAGCCCCCCCCCCGGCTTATCCCCCACACCACTCTCACCCCCCCCTGCTTATCCCCCACACCCCCCCCCCACCCCCCCCCCTGCTTATCCCCCACACCCCCCCCCACCCCCCCCCCCTGCGTATCCCCCACACCACTCTCACCCCCCCCCCTGCTTATCCCCCACACCCCCCCCACCCCCCCCTGCTTATCCCCCACACCCCCCCCACCCCCCCCCCCTGCTTATCCCCCACACCCCCCCCACCCCCCCCTGCTTATCCCCCACACCACTCTCACCCCCCCCACCCTGCTTATCCCCCACACCCCCCCCACCCCCCCCCTGCTTATCCCCCACACCACTCTCACCCCCCCCCCCCTGCTTATCCCCCACACCCCCCCCCTGCTTATCCCCCACACCCCCCCACCCCCCCCTGCTTATCCCCCACACCCCCCCCACCCCCCCCCTGCTTATCCCCCACACCCCCCCCACCCCCCCCTGCTTATCCCCCACACCCCCCCCCCTGCTTATCCCCCACACCCCCCCCACCCCCCCCTGCTTATCCCCCACACCACTCTCACCCCCCCCCCCCCCTGCTTATCCCCCACACCCCCCCCACCCCTCCCCTGCTTATCCCCCACACCCCCCCCCACCCCCCCTGCTTATCCCCCACACCCCCCCCACCCCCCCCCCCCCCTGCTTATCCCCCACACCAAAGGCGGCTGGCCGTGGTGTTGGCCACCCACCCCTCGTGTGCCACAGTGCCGGCCTTTTTTAGGTGCTCGCCAACAGCACTTGCCCCAACAGTCCGTTACAGGCTACACGGGGGATCTTTGTTTTGGTGATGGTGGTAATGGTGGTGATAGTGATTGGTGGTTGATGCTGGTGGTGTTGATGGTAGCGAGGCCAGCAAGTCAGTGGCATGGTGATCGTGTGTTTACATTTGCGATCTCCATAAGAGCAACGCTGCTTTGGCTTCCACGTCTGACCTTAAAGCGATGCGTGCGAAGGACGCACCTGCAGGGAGTTGAAGATGGTGAACAGGTAATGCAGGGCGAGGCTGTTGCTGCCGGCGTCGCTGAAAGCGAAGATGCCGAGTCCCCACGTGACCCCGAGGACGGGCATCATGACGGCGATGCTCTTGGCCAGCTGCTTGACGCGAACCGAGGGTCCCTCGCTGATGGCCGCGCTGACGCTGCGACGGCGCAGGATCTTGGTGAGCACCACCACCAGGATGATGGTGTTGAAGCCGACGATGACCAACGCGGGTACGACAAAGGACAGCAGAGCCCGGCTCTTCTCCCAGTCGAGCCAGCAGACTCCCTTCCGCGTGTACTCGTCGCGCGGCTTCGTCACGGCGATGGTGACGATCGCGATGATGGCCGGCGCCCCGTAGCCCACGGCGAACGCGGCCGCCCTGAGATGCTTCATGGCGACGCGGCTGAAGATGATGACGACGAGGTAGAAGAGGAAGAGACCCTCGCACAGCATCCAGAAGAAGACCGAGAGGTAGCCGAGGTGCATGAGGAAGGTGGAGGCCAGGCAGAGGTTGGTGTTGTACTTGGTGCTGGCGTCGGACGCGGCCACGATGAACCACACGTCGGCGAACAGCAGCGACACGCAGATGTTGATGAGGATGATGTGGCGCATTCGCGAGTTTTCCTGCTTCCTGACGTAGCGCCAGGCCACGGCCTCGATGATGAGGGCGCACACGAGCGCGCCCATGGAGATGCCCACGCCCACGTAGGTGATGATGCTCAGGGCATTCTTGTTTCCTTCACTTATTGCATTATCTCCGTTGGGCGACATGAGCACGGAGAACGAGGTGAGATGGTAACAGGTGCACGTCAGGACATTGGTCTGGCTGCTGTAATTGCTGACAATGCAGCCGTCGTTCGACCACCCCCCCAAGTTGTTGTTAATCTGCAAACCACAAACGCGCACGCACGCCCAGTTCAGTCCCGATCGGAGGCGTACAATGCACAACAACGTCAACATTTCTGCACGAATTTATTTGCTCATCGAAGCAATATCGGTGCACGGCAATAGTAGGGAAGGCCGTGGGAGCTCTGTGACTAACTGCAGATAGAGGTGAAAAAAAGAATAAGAATAACTAAGACATATTTTCAAAAGATGAGGGTACGTAGGCGCGAGCCAAACGCTAAAAAAGGAAAATGATGGTGAAGAGAATGAACCCCAACGGTTGCACAACCATCTTTCCCACGTCATCCTCGCCTGGATTCCCTCTCCTGCCTCCACTCCCGCCTCCACTGGCTTCCCTCCACTACCAGCAGGGCCAGCTACAACATCTCCTGTCTCCATTCCCTCCTCCACTGGCTTCCCTCCACTACCAGCAGGGCCAGCTACAACATCTCCTGTCTCCATTCCCTCTTCCACTGGCTTCCCTCCACTACCAGCAGGGTCAGCTACAACATCTCCTGCCTCCACTCCCGCCTCCACTGGCTTCCCTCCACTACCAGCAGGGCCAGCTACAACATCTCCTGTCTCCATTCCCTCTTCCACTGGCTTCCCTCCACTACCAGCAGGGTCAGCTACAACATCTCCTGCCTCCACTCCCGCCTCCACTGGCTTCCCTCCATCACCAGCAGGGCCAGCTACAACATCTCCTGCCTCCAAGTGTTAAATATTTAGTGACGTGTTACTTTACCAAGTATCTTCTCAATACTTGTTAAAGGTATCAAGCTATCTAGCGAATCATGCTATTTGTTGCTATATTTGATTAGTTATATACAGTGAGGGAAAAAAGTATTTGATCCCCTGCTGATTTTGTACGTTTGCCCACTGACAAAGAAATGATCAGTCTATAATTTTAACGGTAAGTTTATTTGAACAGTGAGAGACAGAATGACAACAAAATCCAGAAAAACGCATATCAAAAATGTTATAAATTGATTTACATTTTAATGAGGGAAATAAGTATTTGACCCCCTCTCAATCAGAAAGATTTCTGGCTCCCAGGTGTCTTTTATACAGGTAACGAGCTGAGATTAGGAGCACACTCTTAAATGGAGTCCTCCTAATCTCAGCTTCAATTCTAGTTTTAAAGCTTTTGTGACTGCTAGGATCCATACTCTTTGGTTCTATTGGGTAAAGTCACGTAGGTGAAAATAAAATAACAAAAAATCACGACGTTTCAGCCACAACACAAGTGGCCTTCATCAGGTGAAGGGACGAGACTGTCTGGAGGACAGCGCTGGAGTGAGAAAAGCCACGCTTAGATCACGACCTTTAAGCTGTGTGAGAAGAAAACAAAGCGCCTTGACAAAGGAATTAGCATATAATTTAGCATTGAAATAGCTGAGTGATTAGCTTGTAACTGGTCACAGAAATAGCTATGTTAAAGTCAGAGCATATACATTCACCGAGGCACCTAGTACTAATCAAACAGGAGAATTTTGCGAAACACAACCATGCTCAGACAGCGGACCTTTAAACTGTGTGCGAGCAAAGAAGGTGTTCTGACAAAGAAATTAGCATAAAAATTAGCATTTGATTGGCCGATTTTAGAAAAGAGGTGGTGTACGTGCCGGTGGACTTTCCGTTAGACGCGGGGGGGGAGGGGGAGTTTACCTATTGATGGTGTGAAAAGGAAATTATAAGAGCTGTGAAAGTTTCGGGTACCACTACTTGAAAAAATATACTGTACCATTGAAATTAGTTTAATGTTTAGTTCGATTTAGAACATCTTTCCAATGGTTGCTTAATTTGAAACCATCTTCTCGGTTGAAATTGTGTCTCTGTTTGTAGATCTGAATTGCTTCATGAACAAATCTCTGATAAAAGCCCGTGGGTTTGCAAAGAACCTTGGTATCGGAGAAAATTATATCGTGATCCCCCACAGCATTGTAACAGTGATCAGCCACGGCAGAAGAATTTGTTTTGCCGTGTTTCAAATCTGATTTGTGCTCGCGAATTCGGTCAGAGACATGTCGCTTTGTCTCCCCGATATAGCAATCACCGCAGGTACAACTCAATTTGTAAACCCCGGGGTACTGTAAGTCAGGAATGACATCCTTCACGGATGGCATCAGATCATGAATTTTGTGTACTGTATTGAACCGGACCTAGATCTTGTGTTTGTTTAGAATTTTGGAAATCTTTTTAGTAACGCCTGCTATATATGGAAGTGTGATGGTTTTGACCGGAGTATCAAGTGGTTGTTTCTGTATGGAGGGAGAAACAGCTTGGCGGATGGTACGGTCAGAGTAACCATTCCTTTTGAGGGCCAGGTGTACATGTTTTAATTCACTGGTCAGGTGGTGTTGGTCAGAAATGCAATGAGCCCTATGGTATAACGTTTTGATGAGATAATTTTTCTGAGTCGGGTGGTGGTGGGAATCAGGTTTCAAGTAGGAGTCTGTGTGGGTGGGCTTCCTGTAAACAGAATGTCCCAATGAGCCATCAGGTCTCCTCTCAAACAGAACATCTAAGAATGGTAGCTTGCCATCTTTCTCCACTTCCATGGTGAATTTGATGGCGGGATGTCTGGAATTGATGTGGTGTAGGAAAAGGTTCAGAGCTGGGAGGCCATGTGGTCAAATGACAAAAGTGTCATCCACATATTTCTTCCACAGGGAAGGTCTGAGGGTGGAAGTCTGGATGGCGTCTGATTCAAATTTCTCCATGAAAATATTGGCTATCACTGGTGATAAGGGTGATCCCATGGGGGTACCCTCATTTTATTTGTAGAAGGAGCCATTCCAAGTAAAGTAGGTATTGTTGAGGCACCTGCACCGGTTAGGCACTGCCTCAACAATACCTACTTTACTTGGAATGGCTCCTTCTACAAACAAAATGAGGGTACCCCCATGGGATCCCCCTTATCACCAGTGATAGCCAATATTTTCATGGAGAAATTTGAATCAGACGCCATCCAGACTTCCATCTTCAGACCTTCCCTGTGGAAGAAATATGTGGATGACACTTTCGTCATTTGACCACATGGCCTCCCAGCTCTGAACCTTTTCCTACACCACATCAATTCCAGACATCCCGCCATCAAATTCACCATGGAAGTGGAGAAAGATGGCAAGCTACCATTCTTAGATGTTCTGTTTGAGAGGAGACCTGATGGCTCATTGGGGCATTCTGTCTACAGGAAACCCACCCACACAGATTCCTACTTGAAACCTGATTCCGACCACCACCCAGCCCAAAAGAATTCTCTCATCAAAACTTTATACCATAGGGCTCATTGCATTTCGGACCAACACCACCTGACCAGTGAATTAAAACATGTACACCTGGCCCTCAAAAGGAATGGTTACTCTGACCGTACCATCCGCCAAGCTGTTTCTCCCTCCATACAGAAACAACCACTTGATACTCCGGTCAAAACCATCACACTTCCATATATAGCAGGCGTTACTAAAAAGATTTCCAAAATTCTAAACAAACACAAGATCCAGGTCCGGTTCAATACAGTACACAAAATTCGTGATCTGATCCCATCCGTGAAGGATTTCATTCCTGACTTACAGTACCCCGGGGTTTACAAATTGAGTTGTACCTGCGGTGATTGCTATATCGGGGAGACAAAGCGACATGTCTCTGACCGAATTCGCGAGCACAAATCAGATTTGAAACACGGCAAAACGAATTCTTCTGCCGTGGCTGATCACTGTTACAACGCTGTGGGGGATCACGATATAATTTTCTCCGATACTAAGGTTCTTTGCAAACCCATGGGCTTTTATCAGAGATTTGTTCATGAAGCCATTCAGATCTACAAACACAGACACAATTTCAACCGAGAAGATGGTTTCAAATTAAGCAACCATTGGAAAAATGTTCTAAATCAAACTAAACATTAAACTAATTTCAATGGTACAGTATATATTTTTTCAAGTAGTGGTACCCCAAACTTTCACAGCTCTTATAAATTCCCTTTTCACACCATCAATAGGTAAACTCCCCCCCCCCCCGCGCCAAACGGCAAGGCCACCGGCACGTACACCACCTCTTTTCTAAAATCGGCCAATCAAATGCTAATTTTTATGCTAATTTCTTTGTCAGAACACCTTGTTTGCTCGCACACAGTTTAAAGGTCCGCTGTCTGAGCGTGGTTGTGTTTCGCTAAATTCTCCTGTTTGATTAGTACTAGGTGCCTCGGTGAATGTAAATGCTCTGACTTTAACATAGCTATTTCTGTGACCAGTTACAAGCTAATCACTTAGCTATTTCAATGCTAAATTCTATGCTAATTCCTTTGTCAAGGGGTACCTCTGCGGATGTGTATACTTTAACTTAGCTATTTCAATGAGCCATTTCAATGCTAAATTATATGCTAATTCCTTTGTCAAGGCGCTTTGTTTTCTTCTCACACAGCTTAAAGGTCGTGATCTAAGCGTGGCTTTTCTCACTCCAGCGCTGTCCTCCAAACAGTCTCGTCCCTTCACCTGATGAAGGCCGCTTGTGTTGTGGCGGAAACGTCGTGATTTTTTGTTATTTTATTTTCACCTACGTGACTTTACCCAATAGAACCAAAGAGTATAATCTCAGCTTGTTACTGTACCTGTATAAAAGACACCTGTCCACAGAAGCAATCGATCAATCAGATTCCAAACTTTCCACCATGGCCAAGACCAAAGAGCTCTCCAAGGATGTCAGGGACAAGATTGTAGACCTACACAAGGCTGGAATGGGCTACAAGACCATTGCCAAGCAGCTTGGTGAGAAGGTGACAACAGTTGGTGCGATTATTCGCAAATGGAAAAAAACACAAAATAACTATCAATCTCCCTCGGCCTAGGTCTCCATGCAATATCTCACCTCGTGGAGTTTCAATGATCATGAGAACTGAGGAATGAGCCCAGAACTACACGGGAGGATCTTGTCAATGATCTCAAGGCAGCTGGGACCATAGTCACCAAGAAAACAATTGGTAACACACTACCCCGTGAAGGACTGAAATTCTGCAGCGCTCGCAAGGTCCCCCTGCTCAAGAAAGCACATATACATGCCCGTCTGAAGTTTGCCAATGAACATCTGAATGATTCAGAGGACAACTGGGTGAAAGTGTTGTGGTCAGATGAGACCAAAATCGAGCTCTTTGGCATCAACTCAACTCGCCGTGTTTGGAGGAGGAGGAATGCTGCCTATGACCCCAAGAACACCATCCCCACCGTCAAACATGGAGGTGAAGACATTATGCTTTGGGGGTGTTTTCCTGCTAAGGGGACAAGACATATTCACCGAATCAAAGAGACGATGGACGGGGCCATGTACCGTCAAATATTTGGTGAGAACCTCCTTCCCTCAGCCAGGGCATTGAAAACGGGTCGTGGATGGGTATTCCAGCATGACAATGACCCAAAACACACGGCCAAGGCAACAAAGGAGTGGCTTAAGAAGAAGCACATTAAGCTCCTGGAGTGGCCTAGCCAGTCTCCAGACCTTTATCCCATAGAAAATCTGTGGAGGGAGCTGAAGGTTCGAGTTGCCAAACATCAGCCTCGAAACCTTAATGACTTGGAGAAGATCTGCAAAGAGGAGTGGGACAAAATCCCTCCTGAGATGTGTGCAAACCTGGTGGCCAACTACAAGAAACGTCTGACCTCTGTGATTGCCAACAAGGGTTTTGCCAACAAGGGTTTTGCCACCAAGTACTAAATCATGTTTTGCAGAGGGGTCAAATACTTATTTCCCTCATTAAAATGCAAATCAATTTATAATATTTTTGACATGAGTTTTTCTGGATTTTGTTGTAGTTATTCTGTCTCTCACTATTCAAATAAACCTACCATTAAAATTATAGACTGATCATTTATTTGTCAGTGGGCAAATGTACAAAATCATCAGGGGATCAAATACTTGTTTTCCCTCACTGTATGTTCTATTTCTGAGACGTATCAACAATGTAATAACTACATTATTAATTATATTCTTAGCTCTTTCAGTAAAGTCACGTTGAAGGGAAACAATAAAATAATAAAATATATAACAATGTTTTTTATTGTTATATATATTTCATTATTTTAATCTTTCCCTTCAACGTGACTTTACCGAAAGAGCTAAGAATATGAATTACTGCAGTCACGAAAGCTTTAAATCAAAATTTTACATGATTAATTATTTACAATTCATTAAATACTTTTCAAGCATTAAATAAAAGTTTAATGTACGTTTTTAAATAACTGATAAATCATACGTTTGAGTATTGGCAAAATAAAATAATGTACATAGACATTAAATACTCTATGTTCAGTTGTCAAACATATCAAAACGTTGCATTTAAATCTGTTGTCGATTACCACACGTATATACATATGTAGAGGCCTCGTCGAGTCACTATTGTGTAACGTGCAATGAATGTGTTATTAGACGCTTACGCCACTTGCTCCCAGAGCCAGATTCGAAATGTCGAGCGACGACCCGGCAAAGAGCCGGTGAACAAAGACACCCGTACCGTGTTGGCCCCGCACTGGCACGGCTCGGGTGTGCCAGTGGAGAAGGGGCATCGCCCAACACCCTGAAACGTGATTTGAGGGCTGTAACCACTCACGTTCTGCAAGGGCATTCTGGTTACCTTGAAATCCCAGAAGACGCAGCTATAGTTGGTCAAGTTTCTGCCCTGCGGAATGAGCATCATCTCCATGGTGATGCTGCTTAGGGGGCTGGATTTATCTTTTAAGATGGTGCTGATCACGATGCTGCCCACGATCGGCGTGTTGGCCGTCCCATTCGTTGAGTTGAGAACTTGTCCTAGCGTCCTGCGTTGGTGTGGCAGTGGGTAGCAGCATCACAGGCTTGTCACGGTTCAATGGACGACGTCGATGTCATCGTCGTCGTCGTCACAATGATCGGAGTCGCAGGCGTCAGTGTCACATGGGGGTGTCAGCGAGAATCGGTGACATGCGAGTCCCTTACACTGGCATTGTCATGAGCAATTATCGTCACAGAGACGATCGTCACAAGAATCACTGGAATGCTTATCTATAAATTACTTTAAGAGTCGGGGCAACGTCACCTGGCGATCGTGTCACAGGCAACCAGATACAGCGTGCGTGAAGCATACGGCTTTGTGTTCGAACGCCGACTCAAGAGAGTCGACATTGCAGCCACAACATTATGGACAGCAGCAGGGCAAGGAGACAACCTTACCGGTGACATCCTAGGGAACCATCAGTGCAATGCGGCCGTCATTGCCACTGCTGCGTTTTGCCCCAGGGGCTTGGTGTGGACCCGCCCCCTCCCTGGCCACGTTGGGGACAGTTCAGCACTGCCCGAGGGTGGCCGGTGAACCCCGTCTGTTAAGTTGGTGGTCACAAGTCAAGGCCCCGCGCGCGAAACGCACGCAATCCGGCAACGACGTGTCCTCCTTACATCCCTCTCTTAGAGCCTCACCAGTTCTCCACTGCCCATTATCTTCCCTCCCCTCGCCCCTCCACTCCTGCCCGACCCTCCCCTATAGCCCTCTCGTCACCCCCCTCCCAAGTGCCCTCCGGTAGGATCACTCATCCTTCGGCTCTTGCACTATCCCTGGCCATCTAAATCACTCTATTGTTTTGATTTACAGCTTTCGTGACTGCACAGATTCATATTCTTGGTTCTTTCGGTAAAGTCACGTAGAAGGGAAACAATCAAATAATAAAAAATATAAAACAATAAAATTATCACGACGTTTCGACTGCAACACAAGCAATCATAGATGGAGTCGTCCATCTGAACAAACTGCCAAATCGCTCTCCGTGGTGCTAACGTTAAAAAAATAACCGCCACTTTTTTCAAATGTTCTTGTAGTGGTTTCACACCTGATGATGATTGCTTGTGTTGCAGTCGAAACGTCGTGAGAATTTTATTGTTTTATATTTATTATTATTTTATTGTGTCCCTTCTACGTGGTGACTTTACCGAAAGAACCAAGAATAGGAATCTCTATTGTTGTTACCGCTATTAAACTCTGTCAAACGCCTTGAGCTAAGGCGCTCTATACATATGAAATAAGATCATATGTGGTGGGACATGCGAGGTGTGATGGGAGGGTTAATCCTCTGGTCACAGCAGTGCCATTTGCTGTCTGGAGATCACCTTCTGCATGTATTATAACAGGCATTGCTGTTAAAGACCCCGCCAATGTCATGGGTCCAATTCGGGAGTTTTGTCGACGTGTAAAATGGTAATGGACGAGTCTCTTTCCAGGTTGTTGATTGCGGTCATGATGTCAGTCCCACACGGGAGGTCAGAAACCTCTTTTCTCAGTTCGACCGCTCATTATCCTTTGAGCCACATATATCTAAGGGGGTTAAAATGTTATTTTTACACCTAAGAAATATTGCCAGAATGCATCGCTTCCTGTCACCCGATGACTCGGAGAGACTGGTCCATGCTTTTGTGTTGTCCTGACTCGACTGCTGTAACGGCTCACTGGCTGGGATACCGAGCAATTAGTAGGCAGACTCCAGCTCGTTCAGAATGCAGCTGTCTGAGTGCTTACACCATGTGCACCATTCCGTGACCACATTACACCAGGTCCTCTCATCTCTTCACTGGAAACCAGTCAAATTCCGAGTGGATTTTAAGATAACGCTATTAAGCTATAATGCTTTAAAGTGACTCACCCCACATTACTTGCAGGAACTAATAGATTTATATATTCTATCAAGATCCTTAAGATCTTCTGATCTCTTCAGCACTCCCAGGTCTCGGTTCAGCTCTTTTGGCGATCATACTTTTATTAGCATGGCAGCCAAGCTATCGAATGCCTTGCCACTTGAAATCACGCGATCATAGTCGGGAGATATACTGAAGTCTGCTTTGAAAACCCATCTCTTTAAATTGACCTTCCCTCTTTAGTTTGGTCGCTTGCCCCCTGGTTCTGTTTTTGTTTTCTGCTTTTCATGCATTGCGCATTGGGATCCTAGGATGGAATAAGCATCACACGTTTTAATTACTATATGACTATTGGGACCATTTTTAAATCTGGCGACGTCTTTCCCCACATCCTGCCCCCTCGCTCCGAACTGGCCCAGCAATGACCACGGCCGACGGTGCCCGTGACGTGACCAAACATTGACCGGTCACCTCCCGTCCACAGCAGCACATTGCTCACACTATTTTCCCGACTATATTCGAGCTATTCCGAGTAACGGAGCTGAAAATCAGCAACAGATGGTCAATGCAATTATCCTGGCGCTAGGTACGGGCATCTGTGTCAGAATATCCCAATGTCAGGATGCTGATGACGAGGACACATCACTCACTTGAAGAAAATGCTGGTGATGGTGATGGGTCGTGTAAGACTAGTGATCACATCCTTGTTAATTTTCACATTGCTGCTGTTATACTCCTTCAAGTACTGTGTGATGCTGTCGTTGCTGTACACCGTGCCATTCAGCACAATGTTGTCGGTCGTGATGTCGAAATCCTTCTGCGTATCTGCGTTCCACAGAGGACATATTCGCGTGGTTACTGTCCGTCACGCAAAAAAGCGTTTTATGTGTGGAGCGCGGTCGAGTGTGGTGGGGGGGGGAGATGGTTGCACCATGGTTCGCGCACTATGTCACTATGATGTCACTATGATGTCACTATGATGTCACTATGCCACTATGTCACTATGCCACTATGTCACTATTCCACTATGTCACTATGCAACTATGTCACTATGTCACTATGCCACTATGTTACTATGCAACTATGTCACTATGCAACTATGTCACTATGTCACTGTGCCACTATGTCACTATGTCACTATGCCACTATGTCATTATGCCACTATGTCACTATGTCACTATGCCACTATGCCGCTGTGTCACTATGCCACTATGTCACTATGCCACTATGCCGCTGTGTCACTATGCCACTATGTCACTATGCCACTATGCCACTATGTCACTATGCCAGTATGTCACTATGCCACTATGTCACTATGCCACTATGTCACTATGTCACTATGCCACTATGCCACTATGTCACTATGCCAGTATGTCACTATGCCACTATGCCACTATGTCACTATGCCACTATGTCACTATGCCACTATGTCACTATGTCACTATGCCACTATGCCGCTGTGTAACTATGCCACTATGTCACTATGCCACTATGTCACTATGTCACTATGCCACTATGTCACTATGCCACTATGTCACTATGCCACTATGTCACTATGTCGCTATGCCACTATGCCGCTGTGTCACTATGCCACTATGTCACTATGCCACTATGCCACTATGTCACTATGCCACTATGTCACTATGTCACTATGCCACTATGCCACTATGTCACTATGCCAGTATGTCACTATGCCACTATGCCACTATGTCACTATGCCACTATGTCACTATGTCACTATGCCACTATGCCGCTGTGTCACTATGCCACTATGTCACTATGCCACTATGTCACTATGTCACTATGCCACTATGTCACTATGCCACTATGTCACTATGTCACTATGCCACTATGCCGCTGTGTCACTATGCCACTATGTCACTATGCCACTATGTCACTATGTCACTATGCCACTATGTCACTATGCCACTATGTCACTATGTCACTATGCCACTATGTCACTATGTCACTATGCCACTATGCCACTATGTCACTATGTCACTATGCCACTATGCCACTATGTCACTATGTCACTATGCCACTATGTCACTATGCCACTATGCCACTATGTCACTATGCCACTATGCCACTATGTCACTATTCCACTATGTCACTATGCACCTATGTCACTATGTCACTATGCCACTATGTCAATATGTCACTATGTCACTATGCAACTATGTCACTACGCCACTATGTCACTACGCCACTATGCCACTACGCGACTATGCCACTATGTCACTATGTCACTATGCCACTATGTCACTATGCCACTATGCCACTATGTCACTATGTCACTATGCCACTATGTCACTATGTCACTATGCCACTATGTCACTATGCCACTATGCCACTATGTCACTATGCCACTATGTCACTATGCCACTATGCCACTATGTCACTATTCCACTATGTCACTATGCACCTATGTCACTGTCACTATGCCACTATGTCACTATGTCACTATGCCACTATGTCACTACGTCACTACGTCACTACGCCACTACGTCACTACGCCACTACGTCACTATTTCAATATGTCACTATGTCACTATGCAACTATGCCACTATGCCACTATGCCACTACGTCACTATGTCACTATGCCACTACGTCACTATGTCACTATGCGACTATGTCACTATGTCACTACTCCACTATGTCACTATGCCACTATGCGACTATGCCACTATGTCACTATGTCACTATGCCACTATGTCACTATGCCACTATGCCACTATGTCACTATGCCAGTATGTCACTATGCCACTATGCCACTATGTCACTATGTCACTATGTCACTATGCCACTATGCCGCTGTGTCACTATGCCACTATGTCACTATGCCACTATGTCACTATGTCACTATGCCACTATGTCACTATGCCACTATGTCACTATGTCACTATGCCACTATGCCGCTGTGTCACTATGCCACTATGTCACTATGCCACTATGTCACTATTCCACTATGTCACTATGCACCTATGTCACTATGTCACTATGCCACTATGTCAATATGTCACTATGTCACTATGCAACTATGTCACTACGCCACTATGTCACTACGCCACTATGCCACTACGCGACTATGCCACTATGTCACTATGTCACTATGCCACTATGTCACTATGCCACTATGCCACTATGTCACTATGTCACTATGCCACTATGTCACTATGTCACTATGCCACTATGTCACTATGCCACTATGCCACTATGTCACTATGCCACTATGTCACTATGCCACTATGCCACTATGTCACTATTCCACTATGTCACTATGCACCTATGTCACTGTCACTATGCCACTATGTCACTATGTCACTATGCCACTATGTCACTACGTCACTACGTCACTACGCCACTACGTCACTACGCCACTACGTCACTATTTCAATATGTCACTATGTCACTATGCAACTATGCCACTATGCCACTATGCCACTACGTCACTATGTCACTATGCCACTACGTCACTATGTCACTATGTGACTATGTCACTATGTCACTACGCCACTATGTCACTATGCCACTATGCGACTATGCCACTATGTCACTATGTCACTATGCCACTATGTCACTATGCCACTATGCCACAATGTCACTATGCCAGTATGTCACTATACCACTATGCCACTATGTCACTATGCCACTATGTCACTATGTCACTATGCCACTATGCCGCTGTGTCACTATGCCACTATGTCACTATGCCACTATGTCACTATGTCACTATGCCACTATGTCACTATGCCACTATGTCACTATGTCACTATGCCACTATGCCGCTGTGTCACTATGCCACTATGTCACTATGCCACTATGCCACTATGTCACTATGCCACTATGTCACTATGCCACTATGTCACTATGCCACTATGTCACTATGCCACTATGTCACTATGCCACTATGCCACTATGTCACTATGCCACTATGCCACTATGTCACTATTCCACTATGTCACTATGCACCTATGTCACTATGTCACTATGCCACTATGTCAATATGTCACTATGTCACTATGCAACTATGTCACTACGCCACTATGTCACTACGCCACTATGCCACTACGCGACTATGCCACTATGTCACTATGTCACTATGCCACTATGTCACTATGCCACTATGCCACTATGTCACTATGTCACTATGCCACTATGCCACTATGTCACTATGTCACTATGCCACTATGTCACTATGCCACTATGCCACTATGTCACTATGCCACTATGTCACTATGCCACTATGCCACTATGTCACTATTCCACTATGTCACTATGCACCTATGTCACTGTCACTATGCCACTATGTCACTATGTCACTATGCCACTATGTCACTACGTCACTATGTCACTATGCCACTACGTCACTATGTCACTATGTGACTATGTCACTATGTCACTACGCCACTATGTCACTATGCCACTATGCGACTATGCCACTATGTCACTATGTCACTATGCCACTATGTCACTATGCCACTATGCCACTATGTCACTATGCCAGTATGTCACTATACCACTATGCCACTATGTCACTATGCCACTATGTCACTATGTCACTATGCCACTATGCCGCTGTGTCACTATGCCACTATGTCACTATGCCACTATGTCACTATGTCACTATGCCACTATGTCACTATGCCACTATGTCACTATGTCACTATGCCACTATGCCGCTGTGTCACTATGCCACTATGTCACTATGCCACTATGCCACTATGTCACTATGCCACTATGTCACTATGCCACTATGTCACTATGCCACTATGTCACTATGCCACTATGTCACTATGCCACTATGCCACTATGTCACTATGCCACTATGCCACTATGTCACTATTCCACTATGTCACTATGCACCTATGTCACTATGTCACTATGCCACTATGTCAATATGTCACTATGTCACTATGCAACTATGTCACTACGCCACTATGTCACTACGCCACTATGCCACTACGCGACTATGCCACTATGTCACTATGTCACTATGCCACTATGTCACTATGCCACTATGCCACTATGTCACTATGTCACTATGCCACTATGCCACTATGTCACTATGTCACTATGCCACTATGTCACTATGCCACTATGCCACTATGTCACTATGCCACTATGTCACTATGCCACTATGCCACTATGTCACTATTCCACTATGTCACTATGCACCTATGTCACTGTCACTATGCCACTATGTCACTATGTCACTATGCCACTATGTCACTACGTCACTACGTCACTACGCCACTACGTCACTACGCCACTACGTCACTATTTCAATATGTCACTATGTCACTATGCAACTATGCCACTATGCCACTATGCCACTACGTCACTATGTCACTATGCCACTACGTCACTATGTCACTATGTCACTCTGCGACTATGTCACTATGTCACTACGCCACTATGTCACTATGCCACTATGCGACTATGCCACTATGTCACTATGTCACTATGCCACTATGTCACTATACCACTATGTCACTATGTCACTATGCCACTGACAATATTTCACTATGTCACTATGTCGCTATGTCACTATGTTACGGAGCTGTGACCAACCAAGTTGAATTCCCGTCCGTAGCCAACATCAGCGGCGAACACCTCGACTGGCTCTGGGCCTCCTCTTGGTCCACTTGGCAATGATTGAGTACTTGGAGCGCTACCCCTATCACTACCCATACCTCTATCACTACCTCTACCACCACCCCAATCCCTATCACCACCCATACCTCTATCACTACCTCTACCACCACTCCAATCCCTATCACTACCCATACCCCTATCGCTACCCCAACCCCTATCACTAACCCTACCTCAACCCCTGCTTAGCCACTCCCACCTGTTCTACTGTCACCATAACTACACCACCATCACCACTTGTAACAACAACCCCACGAATTTTCATTATCTCGTCCGCTCTCGTCGTACGTCAGAATGGGGATCTGTGTCTCGACTGGGTCTCGGCGCTGTGCGTGCCGGAGCGATGCGATGGGCACGCCGCACGGGCGGCGCTCGTGTCGAGCGCTCCGTGCCCGCTACCTGACGTGTTAAAGGTGTTGGCGAACGCCTCCACGCTCTGCAGCAGCCTGGAGCTCTCGGTTTTGACGACTTGCACTGCTTCGCTGTTTATCGTAGCTGGTGATAGCAGGTTGCTCACAGAGTCCATAAAATTCTGAAACACAAAGACAAAGATTCCACCCCCCCCCCCCCGCCCCCCAGTGTGTACCCTTTAGCAGACCGTTGGAGTGAATTGTGTGAGCGAGTGACACCTGGTGCAGATGGGCAGGATACGCCATGGGAACAACCAACGGAATGCGCACTCGAATGTTACTGGTGGGGTGCAGACCATCAAAAAGTTCAGCACCGGCGGCGTGGCCCCCCTCCCCAACACCCCCCCATGGCCTCACCTTGACCACGGCTCTGCTGAACGAGTGATTGGTGGAGACATTCGCGATGTTCTCGAGGGTTTCGCTGAGGGACTTGACATCTCCTTGGTAGATGGTTTTGTTCGTGGTGACGTTGGTCAAAATTGCCAGGACCTCCGGAACTTTAACGTCCACTTTGCCGAAGCCAGCCTGAAGGTCCTGGGGTGAAACGAGCGAGAAACGGCGTGACCTGGTGGTGACAGCTGTTCGGGGTTTTCCAAGGGGGGTCTTCCCAGGGGGTCTTCCCAGGGGGTCTTCCCAGGGGGTTTTCCCAGGGGGTCTTCCCAGGGGGTCTTCCCAAGGGATCTTCGCAGGGGGTTTTCCCAGGGTCATCCTCTGTAGGTCTCAGAATAAATATGCTCAGAGCGAGTGGATCTTTAACGTCCGCCGTGAAGCAGACGGCCACACACAGTCAGAGTTTGCGAGGGCGCACTGGGGGGACAATGCCCCGTCCAAACTGGACACCTTTATGACTCTATTTTCTGTAGTTTATAATTAAAATGTAAAATGCATTAATAATATGCACCCGCAATTCCCAATGTGAGGGACAAAGCGAACCCCAACCACCACGCCCCCCCCCCCCCCCCCCCAAAAAAAAACTTCCAAGCCAAACTCCGCCGATGCATGCCCCGGTAAATAGCACGCCCCGCTCGCTATTAACCGGGGCGGCCAGTGGGCCAGCGCCACGACTCTCCGCGACAGGCGGCGAGTGCGCTGTCACCTGCCCCCCCCCCCCCCCGGACCCTGCAAGCCTTACTTTAATTTCGTTGCTGGCGTTCTTTAAGGCATTGGAGACGCAGTTGTCGGATGGGCTGTCGAATGTCCCGTTCAGAAAGCAATTCCGCTGGATGAATCCGGTGTAGCCCTCTCCGCACGGTATGGTGGCCACGCTACCTATCTTTGTAGCCGGCCACCCATTTACGTTGCAGAGCTTGTCCGCATCTGACAGACATTCAGCGACAGACTGTGGTGAGCATCGGCACTGTTTATCGAGAGCGTCGCCTCCATTAGTGTGTGCATGTGTGCGTGTGTGTGCATGCATGCACTGAGTGCCCACAACAATGAGCAGAGCACTGGGCGGATAAAACACAGCGAAGTGGCACAGTGGGCAGCACAGGTCGTGGATCTGCCAGTCAGGACGCCTATAAATTAGAGCCTAGCAACTCATTGGGCACTTCCTACTAATATGAATCTCAGTCAGCCCAAACCCATAACACCTCACTGTGGCCGTGGCTACCGGTCTCGTGCCACTTTCCAGTCGAGTAGAGAGCTGGAAAATGTTGAGCCACGCAGGATGAGTTTACTCTTGAAGAGAGAGAAACGAGCTAAACCAGGGTCCTTATTTCGTCGTGAACCAGCAGAACATCGCCATTACTCTCACCGCACTTAGGATGGGCAGAGACCACGCAATGCATATTTGAAGGAGGCATCCGCCACGCCGGGCCCGAGCGTTCCGGACACAGCCGCACACGCGCCCGCCACGTACCCGTTGTAAAGACAAGCGTGAGGGTTTTGGAGGTGGAGAAGTTGTCGTCCATCGTGAACGTGCACGTGACCATGATATCGCTGCACGACGAGGGCTTAGACATCAAGTAAGTTGAGCAGCCCGTGGTGAGATTGATGCGTTCTGAGTGAGAACAAAAGAAAAAATCACGTCGGGAATAATGTCACGCAAGGTAAAGCATCGTCGCTCAAGTTGGGGAACGTTGCACCGTCTTCTCGTGGGTTACGCAACTCGCTTTACATAGCAAGTTGTCTTCAGAGGCCTTTGATTAGCAGCGCAGACGCAGACAAAAATCTGTCAAAGCACTACGCATTTTCATATTCACAAAGAGTTATTTTTGCCCTCTGTTGTGTCCTCCAGGTTTAGGGCAGGTCTTCACCAGCCCTTCAATCAATGTGGCCTGTTTTCAGTCTGCTAAGTCTGTAGAACGTTAGATGACTGTTTAGTTTGTGTATTGAGTCATCTCTACAAGATATATAGTTAGTTTGTGTATTGAGTCATCTATACAAGATGTAAAGTTTAGTTTGTGTATTGAGGCATCTATACAAGATTTATAGTTTAGTTTGTGTATTGAGTCATCTATACAAGATTTATAGTTTAGTTTGTGTATTGAGTCATCTATACAAGATTTATAGTTTAGTTTGTGTATTAAGTAATCGCTACAAGATATATATAGTTAGTTTGTGTATTGAGTAATCTCTACAAGATATATAGTTAGCTTGTGTATTGAGTCATCTCTACAAGATTTATAGTTAGTTGCTGTATTGAGTAATCTCTACAAGATGTATAGTTAGTTTGTGTATTGAGCAATCTCTACAAGATTTATAGTTTAGTTTGTGTATTGAGTCATCTCTACAAGATTTATAGTTAGTTTGTGTATTGAGCAATCTCTACAAGATTTATAGTTTAGTTTGTGTATTGAGTCATCTATACAAGATGTATAGTTTAGTTTGTGTATTGAGTCATCTCTACAAGATTTATAGTTTGTGTATTGAGCAATCTCTACAAGATTTATAGTTTAGTTTGTGTATTGAGTCATCTATACAAGATTTATAGTTAGTTTGGTTATTGAGTCATCTCTACAAGATTTATAGTTAGTTTGTGTATTGAGTCATCTATACAAGATGTAAAGTTTAGTTTGTGTATTGAGGCATCTATACAAGATGTATAGTTAGTTTGTGTATTGTGTTATCTATACAAGATTTATAGTTTAGTTTGTGTATTGAGTCATCTATACAAGATTTATAGTTTAGTTTGTGTATTAAGTAATCGCTACAAGATATATAGTTTGTGTATTGAGTCACCTCTACAAGATATATAGTTAGCTTGTGTATTGAGTCATCTCTACAAGATTTATAGTTAGTTGCTGTATTGAGTAATCTCTACAAGATGTATAGTTAGTTTGTGTATTGAGCAATCTCTACAAGATTTATAGTTTAGTTTGTGTATTGAGTCATCTCTACAAGAGTTATATTTAGTTTGTGTATTGAGTCATCTATACAAGATGTATAGTTTAGTTTGTGTATTGAGTCATCTCTACAAGATTTATAGTTAGTTTGTGTATTGAGCAATCTCTAAAAGATGTATAGTTAGTTTGGTTATTGAGTAATCTCTACAAGATGTATAGTTAGTTTGTGTATTGAGTCATCTATACAAGATTTATAGTTTAGTTTGTGTATTGAGTCATCTCTACAAGATGTATAATTAGTTTGTGTATTGAGTAATCTCTACAAGATATATAGTTAGTTTGTGTATTGAGTAATCTCTACAAGATGTATAGTTTAGTTTGTGTATTGAGCAATCTCTACAAGATTTATAGTTAGTTTGTGTATTGAGTCATCCCTACAAGATTTATAGTTAGTTTGTGTATTGAGCAATCTCTACAAGATTTATAGTTTAGTTTGTGTATTGAGTCATCTATACAAGATTTATAGTTAGTTTGTGTATTGAGTCATCTATACAAGATGTATAGTTAGTTTGTGTATTGAGTCATCTCTACAAGATTTATAGTTAGTTTGTGTATTGAGTCATCTATACAAGATTTATAGTTTAGTTTGTGTATTAAGTAATCGCTACAAGATATATAGTTAGTTTGTGTATTGAGTTACCTCTACAAGATATATAGTTAGCTTGTGTATTGAGTCATCTATACAAGATGTATAGTTTAGTTTGTGTATTGAGTCATCTCTACAAGATTTATAGTTAGTTTCTGTATTGAGTAATCTCTACAAGATTTATAGTTAGTTTGTGTATTGAGTAATCTCTATAAGATTTATAGTTTAGTTTGTGTATTGAGCAATCTCTACAAGATTTATAGTTTAGTCTGTGTATTGAGTCATCTCTACAAGATGTATAATTAGTTTGTGTATTGAGTAATCTCTACAAGATATATAGTTAGTTTGTGTATTGAGTAATCTCTACAAGATGTATAGTTTAGTTTGTGTATTGAGCAATCTCTAAAAGATTTATAGTTAGTTTGTGTATTGAGTCATCTCTACAAGATTTATAGTTAGTTTGTGTATTGAGCAATCTCTACAAGATATATAGTTTAGTTTGTGTATTGAGTCATCTCTAAAAGATTTATAGTTAGTTTGTGTATTGAGTCATCTCTACAAGATGTATAGTTAGTTTGTGTATTGAGTCATCTATACAAGATTTTTATAGTTTAGTTTGTGTATTGAGTCATCTCTACAAGATGTATAGTTAGTTTGTGTATTGAGCAATCTCTAAAAGATGTATAGTTAGTTTGTGTATTGAGCAATCTCTACAAGATTTATAGTTTAGTTTGTGTATTGAGTCATCTCTACAAGATTTATAGTTTAGTTTGTGTATTGAGCAATCTCTACAAGATTTATAGTTTAGTTTGTGTATTGAGCAATCTCTACAAGATTTATAGTTTAGTTTGTGTATTGAGCAATCTCTACAAGATTTATAGTTTAGTTTGTGTATTGAGTCATCTCTACAAGATTTATAGTTTGTGTATTGAGTAATCTCTACAAGATTTATAGTTTAGTTTGTGTATTGAGTCATCTATACAAGATTTATAGTTTGTGTATTGAGTCATCTCTACAAGATTTATAGTTAGTTTGTGTATTGAGCAATCTCTAAAAGATTTATAGTTAGTTTGGTTATTGAGTCGTCTCTACAAGATTTATAGTTTAGTTTATGTATTGAGTCATCTATAAAAGATTTATAGTTAGTTTGTGTATTGAGTAATCTCTACAAGATGTATAGTTAGTTTGTGTATTGAGTCATCTATACAAGATTTTTATAGTTTAGTTTGTGTATTGAGTCATCTCTACAAGATGTATAGTTAGTTTGTGTATTGAGCAATCTCTAAAAGATGTATAGTTAGTTTGGTTATTGAGTAATCTCTACAAGATTTATAGTTAGTTTGTGTATTGAGTCACCTCTACAAGATTTATAGTTAGTTTGTGTATTGAGTCATCTCTACAAGATTTATAGTTAGTTTGTGTATTGAGCAATCTCTAAAAGATGTATAGTTAGTTTGGTTATTGAGTAATCTCTACAAGATTTATAGTTAGATTGTGTATTGAGCAATCTCTAAAAGATTTATAGTAAGTTTGGTTATTGAGTCATCTCTACAATATTTATAGTTAGTTTGTGTATTGAGTCATCTATACAAGATGTATAGTTAGTTTGTGTATTGAGTCATCTATACAAGATGTATAGTTTAGTTTGTGTATTGAGTCATCTCTACAAGATTTATAGTTAGTTTCTGTATTGAGTAATCTCTACAAGATTTATAGTTAGTTTGTGTATTGAGTAATCTCTATAAGATTTATAGTTTAGTTTGTGTATTGAGCAATCTCTACAAGATTTATAGTTTAGTTTGTGTATTGAGTCATCTCTACAAGATGTATAATTAGTTTGTGTATTGAGTAATCTCTACAAGATATATAGTTAGTTTGTGTATTGAGTAATCTCTACAAGATGTATAGTTTAGTTTGTGTATTGAGAAATCTCTAAAAGATTTATAGTTAGTTTGTGTATTGAGTCATCTCTACAAGATTTATAGTTAGTTTGTGTATTGAGCAATCTCTACAAGATATATAGTTTAGTTTGTGTATTGAGTCATCTCTAAAAGATTTATAGTTAGTTTGTGTATTGAGTCATCTCTACAAGATTTATAGTTAGTTTGTGTATTGAGCAATCTCTACAAGATTTATAGTTTAGTTTGTGTATTGAGTCATCTCTACAAGAGTTATAGTTAGTTTGTGTATTGAGCAATCTCTACAAGATTTATAGTTAGTTTGTGTATTGAGCAATCTCTACAAGATTTATAGTTTAGTTTGTGTATTGAGTCATCTCTACAAGATTTATAGTTTAGTTTGTGTATTGAGTCATCTCTACAAGATTTATAGTTTGTGTATTGAGTAATCTCTACAAGATTTATAGTTTAGTTTGTGTATTGAGTCATCTATACAAGATTTATAGTTAGTTTGTGTATTGAGTCATCTCTACAAGATTTATAGTTTAGTTTGTGTATTGAGTCATCTCTACAAGATTTATAGTTTGTGTATTGAGTAATCTCTACAAGATTTATAGTTTAGTTTGTGTATTGAGTCATCTATACAAGATTTATAGTTAGTTTGTGTATTGAGTAATCTCTACAAGATGTATAGTTAGTTTGTGTATTGAGCAATCTCTAAAAGATTTATAGTTAGTTTGGTTATTGAGTAATCTCTACAAGATTTATAGTTAGTTTGTGAATTGAGTCATCTCTACAAGATGTATAGTTTAGTTTGTGTATTGAGCAATCTCTAAAAGATGTATAGTTAGTTTGGTTATTGAGTAATCTCTACAAGATTTATAGTTAGTTTGTGTATTGAGCAATCTCTAAAAGATTTATAGTAAGTTTGGTTATTGAGTCATCTCTACAAGATTTATAGTTAGTTTGTGTATTGAGTCATCTATACAAGATGTATAGTTAGTTTGTGTATTGAGTCATCTATACAAGATGTATAGTTAGTTTGTGTATTGTGTCATCTCTAAAAGATTTATAGTTAGTTTGGTTATTGAGTCATCTCTACAAGATTTATAGTTAGTTTGTGTATTGAGTCATTTCTACAAGATTTATAGTTTAGTTTGTGTATTGAGTC